AAACATGACCCCATTCTGAATTTCTACTGCATATTTAATTTGCAGCCCTTTATGAAGCATGGGATTATTTAGAGGGCCCTCTCCTATCTTTTCCTATTTCATCGGCTTTTTAAAAGATTTTCCGTAATCTTCAGCCAGTTGGTCTCAAATACTGTTATCTAAAACATTTAATTGCGACCTGATATTTACTTACATGTCAATCATCTTTGTATATTTTTTGTTTTTGTTTTTCTATTCAGGATGCATGAACAGACATATAAAAATGTACTCACACGGATTAGCATGTTAGGCCAAGGGATACGAGAAGGCATTAGAGCTTGAAACGACTTTCACTCATGAAAAACTAAGATTTCCGGGGGAGCTCTCCCAGAGTGGGAGTCACTAGGGACCTGGGACAACCAAGTGATGCGGCCTTCGGGACTGGAAGAATGACATTAGCAAACCAGGTGGTGAAACAGAAACACGGTCTACATGGGCTAGTGGGACCGTACCACGGTTCATTTCCCGACGACGGCGATGACCCAGGGTTACACGGGACGCTCCATGGGGGAGGCGGGCTGGAGCAGGCACGGGAGTTCCAGGAATTCGGATTACAGCGCATAGGAAGTTATTTCAAAGTCAGATATTAAGAATGCCAAAGAGAAAGGTTGATTATGAAGACAAAGCTGGCTCAGTGGCAGCGCCAGGACGCTCACGGGCTCTGCGGCAGGGTCTGCGAGGGGCGGGGAGGTCAGCGTCCACAGCGGGTGTGGGGAGGGACCCGGGCCCACCTGGTCGATGGAGTCCCACATGTACAGTTCACCCTGTTGCTTGTGCTCGTCTTTCTTGTCCTCCACGTTCACGTCCACATCACCTCGGGGGCCCAGCTTCTTATGCTAAGAAAAAGATGCACAAGGCCTCCCTCGAAACCCAGGCTCAGGGTCTTCAAGCCAGCAAGAGCCCACGCACATCAGGCTGCGCGCGGCGTCCACCTCACTTCATACCTCTGTGCCTTTGCACGGTCCTGCCCTTTGTGGGCCCCTCTCTCAGCGCCTGGGGCTCTGCAGCTGGGCCGCCTCCTGGGAGGAGGAGGAGGAGGAGGAGGAGGAGGGGCCCCCCCCAGCCCTCAGAGCACCGGCCGAGCTCACTTCCGGCCCTGCTGCCCTCTGGCTGAGCCCTGCTTTCCCTATCTCTCCAACTTCTGTCTTCTCTGCCAGGCGGGCAGGGACTTGGCCTTTCTCCTGTTGAGTGGCTGTGCTAGGGCAGCGCCTAGCAGGCAGTGAGCGCTCAGTAAGTAGGAAGCAGGCTGTGCAGGGTGGCAGCGGACACACGGGGTTCGGCACAGCAGCCCTGCACTGCCCCGCGAGCTGTGTGACCCTGGGCAGGAGCTGCGCTTTCTGAGCCTCACACACCTCCCCTGTGCGACCGAGGCAGTGAGGACAATGCTCACCCACGCGAGAGCGACAGCTGGGGTCACGGAGTGCGCAGGAAGGAACTCGGCCCCGGAGAGGGCCCTGGGCTCGAATTCAGAGCCAGGTGACAAGCAAGTCTCAGTAACCTGTCCTGGGAAAAGGGGAGATGACAGCCCCACTGCATCCCATAAACCAGGCTGTGAAGAGTAAGGGCCAAGTGGGCAACAGGCCCCGTATGTCCTGTCGGGGACGGGCCCGTGGCACACACAGGGGACACAGTGCTCAGAGGCGGACACCCTTGGGGGGCTGTTTTCTTTGGGAACCAGCTGTGACCTCAGCGGAGCTGTGTGACTTCTCACCCTCAGCATCCACACCAGGGAAGCAGCCTGAGGTGGGCCGGGCTGTCGTCTGGCAGAGTCTGAGGATGCTGAGGTGTCCACCTGCGCCTTGCCCAGTGCACGTGCAGCCCCTGGTGACCCTGACTCCTGCCACTGCCACCCTCCGCCAGAATGGGAAGGGGAGTCACGGGGGACCGGGAATGAGGCACCAGGAGCTTGAACACGGCCGCAGGGCCCTGAGTGAGAGCGGAAGACCGGGAATGTTCCCAGGGCGCTGCTACCGAGAACAGGACGCCACAGATGAGCTGGGAGCGGGAGCAGATGCCACCAGGCCACCCTGAAGCCTCACGGTCCCGAGGCCTGAAGAGCCCAGGCACCCTGAAGAGCTCTTGCCCACCCTACCCTCATCTTGCAGGGAGCGTCCGTGCCCCTCTCAGGCAACTGTACCAGGAGCTGGGCCCCTTGCCCAAATCTCCTGGCACCGATGCCCTCATCCTCCGGGCACCAACACACCCTCCCCTGTGGGCTCGGCCAGAGCCCCATCCCGCTGTCTGTTTCCTGGTGACGTCGGCCCATGAGATCATGGCCTCCTGGATCACAGCGATTTGCCAGTGGATCCTGGTGCTCAGTGAGAGTTCAGGGCATGAGCCGTGTGTTGTCGACACCACAGCCTCGTGTGTGTTATCTCCCCCGACCTGGAAGGGCACCCCCTTCTTGACTGGCACTGTAGTCGGCGTGACCGTGTCCCCTCTCTAAGTCACACGTCGCAGCCTCCTCCTGGGATGGTGTTAGGGTGGGGCCCTCAGTGAGGTGAGCAGGTCGGGGTGCAGACCTCATGAATGGGGTTAGTGCCCTCTAGACAGAGCCCCAGAGAGCCCCGACACCACTTGAGGTCACAGTGCGGGCCCTCAGACTGGACTGAACCGGAACTTTCCAGCCTCCAGAGCGTCGAGCAATCAGTGGGTGGTGGATGAGCCACTTGGCTTTTGTTACAGCGCCTGATGACTACAAAAGTGACTGAGACACACCTGTTCCTCCTCCCTCCTAGCCTGCCCGCTGTCCACTGAGGCCGTGTGGGCCCTTCCCCAAATGGCAGTGGCTCAATACTTCAGACTCCACGGCAGGTCCTGTGACCGAGTTCTCATGACAGACCGCGGAAGGGACATGAACATCTTATGTCCACTTGCTTACCGGAAATGATCGGCCCTAGACACCCAGTTTCACCCCAGATAAGGATAGTTCTCACCATTCTGTGCTCTGCATCTGGGGACGCCACAGACCTTTTCTCAGAAAGTCAGCAATGCATACAATGATGGGGAAGTCAATTATATTGAAATACAATTATGAAGGTACTAATAAAATAATTGCAATATGCTAATCGACATGCTTCCTCATTAATGTCTCAAGTAAGATTCAGAGGCAGATCTAATAACCTCCATAATCCCCAAGTACTGACATGCACAGTGGTATTTTAAGATATCTTCAACAACTACAAATGTGGTATGAAAATATCCCCGACTTCTGCTGACAAGGCCCTCGTGGCTCGCTGCCACCATTCATAATGAAAGGAAATGTTAAGCTTTCCATACAGCTTAATGAAGATAAGATGCAAGCCTTTTCTCGCTGAAGTTCACATCCTCTCCCCACCAAATTCTAACTACAGGTTCTTTGGAGTCTGTGTGAGCCCAGTCGAAACCCCTGCCTTGGGAGAAGTTAATAGCAGGACATGAGGACGCAAGCACCTGAGAATCACCTATGGGCCAGAGCTCAAACTCCTAGAATATTTCCTTTCCTGTGAAAAAAGAAATAAACTCACACCTGCTGTAAACCACTGCAGATCTGATCTCCTCATCCTGATAGTACAAGTTCCCCATTGTTCCCTTGGCTTCCCAAGCCCTGAACAATCAAGTATCTCCCCCATAGCATGAGACAGCAGTCCCATCACCCCATTGCTGCTCAGGACCTCTTTCTGCAACTGTCTCACTCCCATACTAGCCTGGGAGCTGCTGAGGTCAGAAACACTGTGATGGCTTGAGCCTAGATGTCCCCTCAAAGCCTCATTCAGTCTTAGATGAGGCTTTTTCACAGGTGACTGAATCTAGAGTATGTGATGCTGGGATTAAGGGTATGTGATTACTACATAAGTCCACTGATTGGTTTAGCACTGCCCTAATCCCAGTAGGCTAGAGTATAAAAGGGGCAGAAAGATGCTGTTAATGTCTGTGAGGTTGTTTTTGCTACCTTGTGTCCACCATGAACTGTTTCTCCTCTGTAGCGCATGTGTGCTGTGCCACTCTGCCTTGAAGTCATCTGATTGTGGCCTTAAATCTGTACAACCTGTGAGCTACATACCACCCCGACTTTGCATGTGAGGTATTTTGTCTCAGCAGTGAGAAAAGTAAGACAGAATTTGGTACCAGGGAAGTGGAGCTGCTGCTATGACATTACCTGGCCCTATGGCTCAAGAGCCTTTGGAGCTGGCTTGTGGGATGGTCATGAGTTAGTAAAGGTTCAGGGATGCTGGCTGAAAAAGCAGAGCTGGAACACCTTAAGCTGCACTGTATAGGAGATTCTGATGAGAGCTCAGGAGACCAAAAAAAATTGGTAAAGACCAGGCTCAGGGCATTTCTGCTGGGGAGGATTACAATGGCTGTTGGACTTCAGATGATATGTGTTACGCCTTGGCAGAAAGTCTGCATTTTGCTCATGTCTAGAGAGTTTGCCTGAGAGTGAAATTAAGGGTGGTGGACTAATTAATCTGGCAGAAGACATTTCGAGGCAGTCTAATGTTGAGGTGGTAGAATGGCTACTGTGGGGAGCTTTTAATTAGCTTTATGTTGAGAATCAAGATCAAAGAGCCCAGCAGAATGATTTAGAACATTTTGAGATTGGCCAGAAAGGAAGCTACAATAAAGCTGTAGACTAAAAAGAGCAGAGGAGATCTTGAATGCTGAGATGGAATAGAATTGAAAAGATGGCCTGAGGGCATCACAAGAAACAGCAGGACTCTACCCCTTGCAGCTTCACAATTGCAAAAATGGAAGACTTTGCTCTGAGAAGAGCATCCCAGAGCACCATGCTGCAGAACGGCAGCAGCCTAGGGAAATTGTTCCTAAAGATTTGGTTCATAGGCAATCAACCCCCACAGCCAAGAAAGAAGGAAGCCTGGTTGCTTCTCCAGCTGGTGGCAGACCTTGGCATCATCCACATGGTGCAGGTTAGGCACATGCAGAATGCAAAGAGTTGTAGGGTCAGGAAGGCTTCCACCCAGATTTCAGAAGAAGGCTTGGGAGGCCAGGCAGTGTGCCCCTGACAGGGCAGTGTGTGAAGCTCTGAGTGTGAAGCCAGAGGTACAGTGGAGACCCTAGAAGTTTAGAGAAGCCAGGAACATGGGTTATCTGAGGAAAACTGCAAGGAGGGAGCAGAGCTGGCCCGAGAGAGAAGCCATGGGACCTATCTTCACTGGAAGTGCCATGGGGTGGAGCCACCCAAGCCCTTTGGAGTTCACATCTTACCGCAGATTGCCTTGGATGCTGAACATGGAACAACAGCACTTAATGTTTGCCCTGCTGGATTTTGGACTTGGCTTTGGTCCCATTGTTTTGTGGAGGGATTTTTTTGTTTGTTTGTTTATTTGTTTTGGGGTACCGGGGATTGAACTCAGGTGCTTGTGCTTGCGAGGCAGGTGCCAGAACCACTGAGCTAAATCCCCAGCATGATCCCATTGTTTTGTATCCCCCTATTTGTACCTTTTGGAATATTGTAATGTTGTACCATTGAGTGTTAGAAGTGTTTAACTTCCTTTTCATTTGTACTGGGGCTTGCCCCTTAGATTTTGTCTTAACTCTCAGAGGAGACTTTGGACTTGGATTTCTCAGCAGTGCTGCAACTGTTAAAGACTTAGGAGATGGATTAAATGCCTTTTGCCTAAAGGGATGTGCATGAGTCTTTGGGGGGCCAGGGGCAGAATGTTATGGCTTGTGTCTAGTTTTACCCCCAAGCCTCATGCTGTTTTAGATGGGGCTTTTTCAGAAGTGCCTGAACCTAGAATGTGATACTGGCATCAGGGGTGTATGATAACTAAATCAGTGTATTGACTAATCCCAATAGTTTAGATAGAGCATAAAAGGTACAGAAAGACACTGTTGAGGTTCCTTGTTGCTTTGCTACCGTCTGTCCAACATGAACTGTTCCTTCTCTGTGACACCTGTCTGCTGTGCCACCCTGCCTTGGAGCTAGTCAACTATGGACTGAAACCTCTACAAACTGTAAGCCAAGTAAACCTTTCCTCCTTTGATTTTGGTGGATAAGGTGGATGAGGACATAGCATCAAGTTTTCATGAACCTGTTTTTCTGTTGGACAGTACTTGGCAGCAGCATTTGCCATATTTTTTTATCACACTTGGTAAAAATATTCATGAAGAAGAATTTTCATGTTTTAGAAAGTGGCAAGAATGATAGCATAATTGTGTTCAAAGCAAAAGAGTATTTTGAGAGGGACTAATGGCAGTGTGTATTTTACTGTGATTTTTTAAAAATTTAAGTATTCACTATGTATTTCCATCACACCTTGTATTATCCTCCTGAGACCAGAGAGGACGCAGGCACTGGAAGGCTCCATGACCTCTCAAGATCACAGCATCAGTAAGGAAGCAGGACCGGAGCTGGGCCCTGGGCTCGCTGGCACACAGCAGAAGCCCTGCTGTCCTACCTTGATGATGATCTTCTCCCGCAGCTGGCTGGGTGAGGGCAGCTGGTCGGCGCTGGCCTCCGTGGGCTTGGTCAGCAGCAGGTCACCAAGCACCTCCTTGAACACCCTGGCCATGTGCCGCTGCTGCTCCACGCCACAGTGCTCCTCGATGGACAGGATCACCGGGAAGCTGCAGTGGCAGGGTGGTTCATCTGGGGTTGGCCAGGTGCTGTCCCCATGCCCTGCCTGACTGCAAATGCCTGAGCCATGGCACAGTCCAGGGTGGGGGTCGTCCACCTGTCCAGGGAGGGGCATGAGCCCCAGGACTCAGTCTCCACTTACAATCTCCTAAGTGAGGTGCCGAGCATCCAACAAGTCTTTCCAATTAGACATCACAACAGCACCGGTCATTAACGGAGCTGGGTTCCAGCTCAGAGAGGGATCTCAGAACCCACTCTGCTGGGCACTACCAGGAGCACTTAAGAGGCCACTGTCACTCCACAGAGGCCACAGAAAGCCTCTTGCTGGCCCTCGGCAATGACTTTGGCTCAGATGGAGCCGGGGGCTCTAGTGTTTGGGGAGGTGGAAGGTGATGGGCATCTGTCCAACCCCAGCTGCTCTCCCCTTAAATGCAAACCACCCGGAAATCAGCCGACTGACCTCGAGGTGACAAAGGCGTGGTCTCTGATGGCCTGCACGACGTCATCGAACTTGATCTTGGTGGTCCGTGTCCAGCCGTGGTAGATGATGGGCTTCCCGTCGGGCCCGTCCCAGCAGTCCACTAGGGAAGTGCAGCAGCCTCAGCACAGGCAGGCGGGTCCACCCAGCTCCCCGCTCGGTACCAGGATGGGACTCAGGTGGCCACCTTGCGCGTGCATCTCCCTGTGTACACGCCGTCACCGTGCACTGACGCTGCACAACACGTTTCTCCATGAGAAACAAGCGCCAGGACCGCTTTGGTAATCAGATACTTAGGCTCTGTTTTGTGTCATGATTTCAGCTGTTTAAACCTTGGCTTCCCTTTTTTGACCATGGAAAATAGAGAACTGAGAAATGTTTTAAAAGTGTGAATAAAATATTCAAACAAATAAATGGTGGAGAACAATCTGGAGATTTTCAACCCCCAAAGGAAACAGCAGCGGACAGTTGCTCGCTTCGTGTTTGCAGGTTTGCTTTCTCCTGAGGGTAAGAGCACAGATTAGAGAGTGCGTGGAAAAACAGCTGCTTAACTTGGGTGCCACCATGAGCATTTCTGCCCGTGCTGGAGCCTGGCCCATGTTTGTGCGTCTTTTCAGCCAAGTGCATGTGGGTTGGTGTCCCCCAAAGGACCTGTGTCAAAGGCCTGGTCCCTGGGGTGGTGCTTTGGGCAGGGTCCTTCGGGAGTTGGGGCCTCGTGAAAGGTCGTTGGGTCAATGGGGTCATCACATGTCCTTGAAGGGGACTGTGAAAGCCTGGGCTTGCCCTTTTCTCTTTCTCTTCTGCTCCCAGCCCTCGATATAAACAAGTTTGCTCTGCCTTGCTCTCCTGCCATGAAAGCCACACTGGAGACCCAAAACGCTGGGCCCCAGATCCAGCACTGGGAGCCAGAGTAAGTCTTTCATCGTTATAAGCTCACATTGCAGGTATATTACTGCAGTGACAGGAAGCTGACTAATACACCCCTGTGAGCCTTTGGTAATAGGGGGGCTGGAAGGAAAAGAATCGAGGTGGGGATAAGAAGGGAGGATGGCAGCAGGGTCCAGGCACCACCTGGGTGTCCTTCTCATGTTGGTCACAGACCCCCGAGTGCTGGTGCCATGCAGAGCCTGGGCACCCCAGGAACCAGTGCCAAGCCTTGCACACACTAGTTTACCTTCCTCTGAAGACAGGGGGCTGTGGAAGAGGCAGCAGGCCCAGCTTCCCACGCTTCAGGACTCTGGCCACTGCCTGGCTGGGTTTGAGGTTCCTCTCCTTGTCTTAGGGACAGATGTTTCTGGGGAAAAGTCCTTGGCCAATCCCTAAGTCCAGATACCACCAGTATCCGGTCTCCCTTGGCCTGGCCTGCTAACCCCCAAATCCAGGCCTTTTAAACAAAACAGCAAGCAGCTCCAGAGCCCCACACCTCCGCTCGCTGCATTGGCCCCTCTGGCCGAAGCTACTCACGCTCAATGCAGCGGCAGCCCATGCGCAGGCAGCGGATGTACGCTTCTGTGGATGACTCGCTGCGCAGCTGGTCACCTGTGAGGTACCTGAGGGAGACAGGCCAGGGGGTCATGTGGGGAGATGGCCTAGGGAAACTTTGCAGTTCAGGCCCCCAAGGTCCTGAGTTCTTCCTGCTCAGAAAAACCTCAGGCTGGGATCTGGGTCAGACACTGCAATCTCCTGGTCACGCTAGTCACGGGGCACCTGCCAGACATGGCTGGTGACCACCTTGGCCAACCAGGTGTAGGCTCAGGATAGCGCACTCTTTCTAGCAGAACTTGGACAAAGCATGTCAGGAGTGAGGAAACCAGATAAATGAATGAGCCCATGGCTGCTTCCCAGGTCCTAAGTAGAAGCAGAGAGGCTTGTATTGGGCTATCAGGGCTTGAGGCCAGCACAGAAAGGCATTGTCTTAGTTACTCTTCTCACTGCTGGGGTAGAATATCTGACACTCACTAGTTAAAGGAAGAAACGTTTACTTGGATCACAGTTTGTAGAGGTTTGGGCAACATGGAAGAGGGGCACCGCAGAGGAGAAACAGCTCATGGCATGGAAAGCAAAAGCAGCAAGCAGCAAGCCTGCCTCGCCTCTGTCCCATTATGTTCCATTCAGGCTACCCACCTTTTGGTTGGTGCCACTCAGAACTACGCTAACTCCAATCAGTGGACTAATTTAGTACCACACACCGTAATTCAGCATCACACTGTTAATACACATTCACATACCCTAGATCCTGCCACCTCCAGAAGCACTACCTCTGAGTACATGAGGCTTGGGGAGCACATCTAGATACAAGCTGTACCAGGCACCCAGCAACCACAGGTGCGATTATGCCACAAACCCTGTGCACCAAACTGCCAGAAGATACTGGTGTTTTCGCACATGCCTCTGCCCATTGTCCCCTCTGTAAATGTCAGGCTCCTTAAGCATCTCCAAGGTTGGGCAGAATCCACCATTTTAAGACAGAAACTCTTGAAACAATGGACATGGTGAGGAAGAGAGAAACGTGAAATCAGTCTGCCCCTAAAAATGTCTACCTGCCCAGATCCCCACGGACACATGTGCAAGGGCCTTCTCCCAGTCTGGCCTGCGAGGATGCTGGGAGAGCAACAGCCATAGCCTGCTCGCCAAGAACGCATCCTCCCTGCCCTCTAAGGCAGACTAAATATCGGAACCTGGGTACACGTTTTCTTCCCGTCCAGTCTCCCCTCTTCCTTGCAGTCACTGTAATCACATAACCACGTCAATTTGAGCGTGGTGCTCCCTGGTTGGACACATTCACAATGGGCCATGATTTGTATGCCTTGCTGCCCAGTGGCTTGAACCACCAATGGGACATGCATGACTGTACCACTTCTACTGCCAGCAGTGCAAGCTGGCTGGTGGGACAGTCGTGCGCATACCACCACAGGTTCAAGCCCATGGGAACAGGTTAAAAGCTGACAGTGGCTCCTCACTGCCCTGTGACATACAAGCTCCCACCCAAGCTGGCCCTGCAGCCTCCTCCTCTTCTGTGCTGCCTTCCAGCCTTTTAGACTCCTCTTGGCTGCTCCTGCCCCAGGGCCTCTGCACCCTGCTCCTCTCTCTGAAACTCTCCTCCCTCTCTGCCTCGCACCCTGTTCTGCCACCGGCTCCTGCTACTTCAGCCACTCACTCAGTACAGCCTCGTTCACTGCTACCCGCTAGCAGACACCACGAATCTCAGTTCCATGGCTACTTGTGTTGCTTTGCTGTGGCCCCTGTGAGATGCCTACCTCTGAAGAAGCAGGTGGGCTGACTTTCTTTTCAGGGCCACAGAGAAAGGGCTTTTATTCCTTTCATTTCCCTGGAGAAGAGGCTGTGTCCCTGCCCGTTCTACAAGCTTCTGTATTCCCCAGTGTGAAGGAAGTGGCTCACACTGCACCCGTCAAGACAGGGCTTGCCAGGCACTACTATGGGGCACCGGATGCACCATCCCTGGTGCCACCCAACCCAACCCAGGCTCTTGGCAGAACTCACGTGTTATGGGACGAGGAGATCCAGTAATGGGACAAGGGGTTGTTCATGTCCTGCATGTCCACCACATCATGCTTCCTGTCCCAGATGCTGTTTTCTCGGGAAAACAGGTACGTGAGGAACTGAAAGAGTCACAGATGAACTGTGGTGGTGACGGCAGTGATGTCTGCCTCAAGCCACATGGAAGAGGGCAGCACCAGAAGCTACCTGACCTCCAGTGGCCAGGATTTCAGGGTGTCTCAGACCACAGCGAGCTGCACTGACGCATGTTTCAGGGACCTGGACAATCCTTTCCGTTCCTAATGTTTATCCCAAAATACCTGATACTGCAAGGTATCCACTTCCTATGCAGAAGTTTTAGTCAACACTAATGCTGGCATTTGTGGTTCTACCACCCAATGGAAGAAACTGAGCGTTACCCAGAGCACAGCATCAAAGGGCTGAAATTTTCCCACCCCAACTTTGAGCCCCTTGGCAAAAAACTGAGAAGCCCGGCCAGCCGTGGTGGCGCACGCCTGTAATCCCAGCACTTGGGAGGCTGAGGCAGGAGGATCGCTGTGAGTTCGAGACCAGCCTGGGCTACATAGTGAGTTCCAGGTCAGTCTCAGCTACATAATGAGACCCTGTCTCAAAAAACAAACCAAAAAAAAAGCCTGAGTGACCTGGGACCACGTCCTGCTGCCTGGGTGCAGACTCCTGGGGGATGGGGTCCGCACTTCTCTCCATCCCGCTGTCCTCCAAGGTCCAGTGCAGCCATTTCCCCGCCCTCAGGAACCCAGGAACCTGCATTTTCTGTATAAAAGCTTCTCTTTCTCTGGTGGCAGACGTCCTCTAGTGGCCAAATCTAGAACCCCACTCCAGAAATGGCAAGCGAGAAAAAGGCCCAGCTGGGAAAAGCCGAGACCTGGAAAAACCACCCCTGACAGAGCTGGTTAAGGGGCTCTGACATCAACGCCCTCCAAGGAAGGAGCCGGAAATAAACCTCAGAAGACACAGGCTTCTCTGAAACCTGTGCTGTCAGGATGAGAACCCAGCACTCACCTCGTCCACAAACAAGAAGGGTTCGGCGGTCTCCCTCATGGTGTCGTCAATAAACTTGGTCATCTGCTCCCGGACTTTGTTTAGATCCTGAGCCCAAAGCTCCTGAAAATGACAAAGAGAACAAGAAATCACCAAAGAGAAATGGACAAAATTCCTCATCTCTCAGGGTCTATCCAGCTTCAAAGGCCAAACCATCAGCCAGTTGTGAATTCAATGGCCAACAAGTGCCACATACAAAGGCCTCATCCCAGGCATGGCCTGTGCCAGGCATCAGCAGATGTCTCCTGCAGAGGACCGGAGAGTATCTCAAGGAACCTATGCAGCCCTGCGTGGTGGAGCCCAGACATGGGCAAAGGGCCACGGCTGGGTTCCAGTAAAACTTTATTTACAGACACAGTGGGCACCCTGGGCCATGGGCTATGGCTTACCCACTCCTCCTCCATGCCAGCTCATGACGCGTGTAAGCACCAGGCAGGACAGCAGTTACATCAGCCTGCCAGGGTCACTTGCCTGGCCTCCCTTCTCACCAGGGCTGCCCTGTCAAGTTACATGACTTCGTTGTGCCTCCTCAGCCTTGAAACAGCAGTCACAGTATTTACTTACTGCGCAAGGCCTCTGCAGGGGGCTATGTGACATAAGGCCATGTGCTTAACAGAGCACCTGGTACACAGAAAGCTCTCAAATCATGGCAGTGGGTATGAACAACCCTCCTCCTCCTACCACCTACAAGTCATTGTCACTGTCATTTTAGAGATGAGGACACAGTGCCACAGCACCCCACATAACACCCCAAGTTCACCGAGCTCTTCAGTAGCAGAGTCAGAGCTCCAAATAAGTAAACTTTGGAAAATAGGCACAAAATCTCAGCAGATGTTCTCTTGTAGCCAGGCATGGTGGTGCGTGCTTGTAATCAGAGGACTCTGAGAGGCTGAGGCAGGAGAATCACAAGTTCAAACCCATCCTTGGTGACTTTGTGTACCCGCTCTCGAAAGGAAAAAATTTAAAAAGGGATGTGAACGTAGCTCAGTGCAAAGGCTACTGAAAAATAAAAAAGGCTGTCCTTGCAAGGGGGTCAGCCCACTAAAGCTGTTCACTGATAACGTTCCAAAGTGATATCTGGAAGCCCCTCACAAAAAAAGAACACAAAACAACATGACTTTATTATCTTCCTCTCTGTACCCTGCAATCCCACGCCTCCTTAGGAAACGTGGGTGAAACAGGATACACAGACTCAACTTTGACTGATGCTTCCTCAGTGTCAAATGCTCAAAAGCCTCTCTCCTGGATAACAAAAGCTAATGTGCTGCCAGCTGCGTGTGTGGCTGGGTGGGAGGGGTCCGATGAGGATGCAGGGAAGAATAAAAACCCGAGGACAGCCACCCACGGGCGGTGAGGACCGGCCTCGGACACCAGAGGTACAAAACCACCCTGGACCTTGCGGTTGACTTGCAAAACTGCCTGGGTCAGGGACACAAGGCAGCCAGCAGGCCAGGAACCGTGACTGGCCTTGGTTCCAGCGGCGTTAACATCTCTGAATATGCCAAGAGGAAATTCAAATTGTAGGGTATTCAGTGGAAACACCTTCCCTGACCCAAGGGTCCCAAACAGCCTGGACACGCCCTCCTCCCCGCCGGCGTAAGCTCTCGCCTTTATTAAAAAGCACAGGCTCTTGGCTAACACAACCTGGGCTGTGCGTAACGAAGCCTTCTGCCCAAAGGAGACTGAAGCTCTGTTCAATACCCCAGGGGTGAAAAGGCCTCCGCGTGGGGGTGTGGCTGTGCCAGGCAGCTGTGACGACGGAGATGACAATCATGACGGAAGGGAGAATAACGGGATGCAGTCAGCTCTGGCTCTGACTGCACCCGGCCCTGCGCTGACCCTTCTCAGCGCCTCTTCTCCCTTCCACCAACAGGCCCAGGGATGATGAGGTTGAGTCCAAACCCGGCCCTCAGCTCCAGAGCCCGTCTTAGCCTCTCACTTGCCCACCCAGGGCTGTGTGTGGTGTTTACCAGTCGGCCAGAAACCCAGGCTGGTTCCAAGTGCTCACTGCTGTTACGGTGCCGCCATCATTTCCTCCTCAGAAGAAGTGCCCAAGGGGCAGCCACTTGATTCTGATTTTGGAGTGGGTGGCTTTTTGTTTATTTTTTATTTACTTCTTTATTCATTTTTGCAACACTGGGGCCTGAACCCAGGGCCTTCATACTAAGCAACATCCCTGGCCCTTTTCATCTTGAAATAGGATCTCGTCACCAAGTTACACAGGCTGGGCTCAAACGTGTGATGCTCCCGTTTGGTCTCCCAGAGAGCTCAGATTACAGGCGAGGGCCACCGGGCGGGGTCGAGGGCAGCCACTTAATCAAATTACACACTTGTTTTCTTAAAGTTTGCCTTGTAATCGCAGAGAGCCAAAGTGCTTTCTGGAAGAGTACTGATCTGCAGACGAGGGCTGCGATGGCCGTTCCCCTTGAGCACCCGCCACCCCAAAGGGCACAGAGATGCTCAGGGGCTGCCCCGGTCTTCTCTCAGGCCCCCTGACACGGCCGCCCAGTTGGGGGGACTGTGATTCTCTCTGGAATAAAGTTCCTCGCCACGAGAGGGCGCCAAATCTTCTGTCGGGCCCGCCGGCAGGCGGCGCGCTGGGAGCGAGGCTGCCGCTTTCCCGGAAGGCGACAGACGCGACAGC